TTTTAGTGTAGAAAATAAACTTCCGTTGAGTCTCATCCAATTTCGTAACGTTCCACCGTTCTTTCATATTTCTGAAAAATACGATTTTTTCATATTCTAAGTCTCATAATTCAACTACAGTATGAGCTAGGAAACTGAAATTTTGCTTGGCAATGAAACGTTCAAATATGTATAACACAGTAAAAACGATATTCAATTCTATTCATCATGAAAGAAGAAGTTATTGACGACTTATGTGATAATCGAATAGCTAGTATGTAGCACAATCATTTGTACATTTGTAAAATATCATTTCTCCTCTGTCGAGTAGCCACCGAATCAGAGTAATGGAGAGAGAGAGAGAGCTTTTACTTTTCGATAATTATAGAGCTATAAAGTTATTACTTGAAACAGAGTAGATCACAATGAAAAATTAGGCTTTGAGTAATCAAGATTTTTTTTGAACACTTCATATCACGAGTCAATGAGCTGAATATCGCTAAGATCACTCTTTCGAAAGACGAAGAATCGATGAAAGTAAATTCAATTATAAGAGTAAACTCAGTAATGTATTTTACACAGTAATGTTGTTTGTGTATAAAAATAAAATTTTCTCAACACTTTCTGGAGGCTGAGTCAATTTAAACAAAATTTTCTTCTGAATGAAAAATATATATTAGGTTAAACGTTTCGGATATTCTTCTAATACACAAGTTGAAACAGAGTCATATTGTTGTAAGCATGAAGTTTGTTGAATAATTCTCCGTTTTCTTGCTTTGTGATATTCGATCATCGAACTTAATGTCTTTCTAAATAAAAATGAAAAGCATCTTGACATCTATTATTGATATGTATTTTTTGTTTTATTCACAAAACTTCATCTTAAGCCGAAACCAAAGACAGATCCCGCAAACTTTTGAAAAATTCTTCAACTCTAACCAAAAGAATAATTTTAAAGATAAAAATTAAATAAAAAACATTGAGTCAGTTCTCGAAAGAGTAAAGCAGATTGAAACTTGATTGCTTTCAGAAGTGAATAACCATCTGGAGAACACTAAAACAAATAAAAGTCTATGAAAATTTGCTCAAATCAACTGAGATCATTTATAAGAAATTGCTTTATTGAAGATAGGTTTTCTTTATTTCTTTACATCATGTTTAGCATTCTACTCAATAAAATATATCTTCTAAAATTGTTTTTATTCTTAGTAAATGTTTTTCGAAAATGTACCATTTAGCTAATAATAGTAATTCAGTGGATAAACTTTAGATGATTATTTCACTTGTTCCTGAGTGTTCGATCTCTGAATTGAATATGTATTAAAATGCTTAAAAATATACATAATTATAATGATGTAAAACGGCCACAAAAAATACCTCAAAATGGTTTTAAAAAATTGCAAAATAAAATGTTAATAACACAAATCATTTTTTCGCATTATTTCTGGCCTATTTTGTCGATGGAAAAATTATCGATAAATTTGAAATAGTTAAATACTGTTCGACAAATTTATTTCAATTTTAATTATTTATTACAATTTATGTGACGCTTCTTTCTTCTTCGGAGTTAATCTTTTCAATGTTTCATAAAAATTGAACAAATAAATTAATCACGAA